CCAATAATTATATATTTCAAGCTTTTTACCTTTAATTACTGCAAAGAAACTAAAATTTTTGCTTTCTGCTTGATTATGAATCTGTCTAAAATGTTTAGTTAGGGCATTAATGCTGTCTAATTTTTATTTAGAGTCACATGCCATCCAGAGATTATCCAGTAGACAACGCTCCCTTTTTAGTAGTCTTTCTAAATTATTTCCTCTGAATCGAAGATTAGATCCTTGAGGGGCCACTTTGAGAATGATATTTCCAAAGTTCATCATCATTTGATCCATCTGCACCATGAAGATATTGATTTAGAAAATTAATAACTTGCGTACTTAAATTATCTGCTAAAATATTATTTTTTCCGTCAATATGTTTTATATTAATTTTATAGCGGCTTAATATCTCATATAATTTTAACCATCTTTTATGTCTTATCTTATCAAAATTTGTCTTTTTAATAAATTTTACTATACCTTCACAATCTATCATAATTGTAAATTCAACGTTTAAAAATAATTTAAAACTTTCTATACTATGTATGATGACCATTATTTCATAATCTAAACTAATTAAATATTTTTTTTATCTTGTATTTTTCGCTAGCATATCTACAATTTTTTTTTCTTTTTTATCACTATATTTATTTGGTTTGGAATATAAAATTCCTCCCCATCCTAATTTACATCCATCTGTTTCTATTATTTTATATTCACTATCTAATGGTAATTCTAATGGTGGTAAATTTTTAACTTCCACTTTTATCTTTTTAATTAATTCTATATCTGATTGATTAAAATATTTTTCTCCTTTATTAGATAATTTACTATATAGTGGTCCTACTTTCCTTCCTAAGCCCCCGTTTGAGCCCCAATATTTGTAGATTATAATGAGATGAATAGTATTTTTTTGAAAAATAAATGGTTGAAAAGTTTTTGATTTATGTGTAATATTATTTTATTGAAAATTGTGTGGTTAAAAAGTATGAGAGAGAAAATTTTAATTTAATGTAATGAGAAATAATGGGACTCAAATGGGGGCTAAATCTTTAATAAAATATCTAGCATAATTTAATATTCCTAAAAAGGTTTGTAATTTTTTGGTTTCTTCAATTTTGTCTGAAAATTATAAAATTGTCTGTACTATATGTAGTTGTAACTGAATCTTTCACTTTCCTAAAATTATTACTAAAAATTCAATTTTTTGTTTATTTATTTTCATTCTTTTTTTACTTATAATTAAACCATTTTCTATAAATTTATTTAAGGTTATCTCTAGGTGTTTCATTTAACATCTACTAGAATATCATCTATATATACACAAACAAATGAAAGAGAATTAAATATACTATCCATCTTTATTTGAAAAATAGAGAGAGCGTTTTTTAATTCAAATGACATGACCATTCAAAGTGTCCTAATGGCGTAGTAAAAGCTGTATAAGGATAGATTCTTTTGCCATTTTTATTTGCCAAAATCCAGATTTACAATCAAATTTAGAAAATATCTTGTTATTTTGTATTTTATTTATTAGCACATCCTTATCTAGTATCTTATATCAATCTTCTACAATATTATCGTTTAATCTTTTATAGTTTATAACCATTATTGCTTTTCCTCTTTTTATTTCACTATAATTTCTAACCATAAATGTTGCTAATCTGTGTTGACTGCTAGATGGTCTTATTACTTTTAAATCTAATAATTATTTAATCTATATGTTAAAATTTTCTATATCTTGATTCGTATGCTTTATTTTTGCTGTTATATACAGCACCTCGATATCCTACTTTGTCCGGTCAAAGTAGGATATCGAGGTGCTGTGTATTATATCCCGTTTAATTATTTTTTCATGTTGATAAATTATTGTACTCATGAAAGTTAAAGATATGATATGCTATGATATGAATGATATGACCATTTCGATACAAATAATATGATATGAGCTTTTCCAGTTTCTAAAGACACGAGATGATATGATTTTTTCGATACATGTTTTAAAATTTTTACTTGGGATTGCATCATTAATTTTTATATGTCCTACAAAGTATTTTCATGTACTCATCATTTTTCCTACTCCTCACAGATTAGAACGGATATTTAGTTGGCCGATGATGTGGTGAAGTCGTAATGCCAGAAATGATGAAATTCGAAATAAATAAATTAGGAGTAATATGATTATAGACTTTTATTTTTAGATTCATTTTAGTTTTATTTTCATGTGAAATTTGCAATTTAAGATTTGGGACATGTTTCAGTTAATTATATTTTCTATATGTTTTATTTATTTTATAGATGGAACTAGAAATTTTTTCATGTTGGGACGTTTGATTTAATTTATTTAATTATGGAATAAAAGTTTTAGTAACAATTTTAATTGTTAAAATATGGGTCGTTACATATACAATATGACATGTAATTTGTGAATGGTGACTTGTAACCTATGAACTATAACCCGTGACATGTAAATTATAATTTGTGACTAATTAATATTGACGTGTAAACTATAACACATGACTTGTGAATATACGTGACCTATACCACATGACATGCGGCCTGTGAATTATGACTAGTGAACTATAAATATTGACCTCTGAACTATAACATATGATCTATAAACATCTGTGACCTATACATTATGACATATAAATGGTGACCTGTGACTTGTGTGCCTATGACCAATTAATATTAATATAAACATAAATTAGTGATCTGTGATCAATTCTATTTGATCAATGATCTGTGAACATTGATTTGTGACTTGTTACAAGTGCACAAAAGACATGTGAAATGTTATCAATTTACATGCCACAAGCCATTGTGCACAAGTTACAAGTCATTGCATCAATATCATAAATTATCGAATTTATTTGTCACAAATTATTTATTGGTCACAGATTAACCCAATTTATTGATTACAAATGACATTTATACACTCAAACTCAATCCAAACCTAACACAGAAATTACCACCACCACCACCACCACCAACTCAAAACTCATCACAAAACTACCTCAAAAATTATCATAAAACAGCCACCAACAATCACAACCTCCATCTCCGTCTCCATCCCTACCACAAGCACCACCCCAACAAAAAAACCTCAAACCTATGTCCGCCACCACCTCAAATCTACAGAGAATAGGGACCAATACCTCACCACATCACAACCACAATCACCACCCAACAAAAGAAACCCAAAAAATCTACTTTCATTAAATTTTTTAACTTAAACAAATAGGTGCTCAAACACTCAAAAAATCTACTTTAATTAAAAATCTTAGCTTAAGCAAATAGGTGCTACTCTCCCTTAACCTCCGCCTACAAACTTCAAAATTGTCGACAAGAACTTAAGCAAAAAGGAGCAATCCTGCAGGTAGCACCGTCCAAATAAAATAAATAAAAAGGAGCACCTAGTTTACACTCATACACCCAGAAGTCGAAACTCATATTTTATGCATCAAATTTCATATTTTGAAGTATTAAATATTATATAGAGAAACACAATCCCTCAAACATCTAGAGATTGGGAACCACCAAAAACAAATAAATTGAATGGATCCTCCAAACAAGAATTTTCCATCGCCAATTATCCCCTTGATCGCATCTCTCTTGGGTCATTGCACTTAATTTTGAATCTGTTGGGATGTCGATGAATTTGGTGATTTTAGAGAGGATAGAGAAGATAACGATATTTATAAGAATTAAAATAATATTATTTATTAATAGAAAGGGGATTATCATCTGATTTTTGAATAACCAAAGTTTAAACCTTTTTTTTTTGAATTGTAATCTTTAAAAACACTCAATAGTGTAATTTTCGCTTGTTTGAGCTCTTTTTTGAGCGAATAAATTGTGTAACAACAATCTTTTTGGAAAATATGTTGTAAAGAAGTAGATTTTTTTTTTAATTTATATAATTTTATTGAAAGAATGTATAGTTGAAAATAAATTTTTGAATAACGAAAGTCAAACAAGGGTTAAAAAATATCGAGTAATGCTACATTTACATCATTATTTATAAATTGATATACAAAGAAAGAGAAAAAAATCAATTTGGAATATCTATCTCGGTTATGGAGAAGCATTACTTTAAAATATTTGACTTCGGATTATTCTAATAGTATAAATAGACAACATGTTTTGTTGAAAATAATTTTTTCAACTCAACTAAATTCATTGCTAAGACCTATTTGATGAGAGTGATGTTCTTCATATTCGCTCGTTATGATAGTCGTCTTACGTGACATACTAAATGACAGTTTGTGGTGTGGTTTGATGTATTAATCTGGTAGTTTTTTGTTATCTTATATATCAAATCACTAACTGCCACATATATGCTATGTCGACGGTTGCGATAGTGAGTGACTACAAATAACGTTATTCATTTGATGATCATTATTTGAAAACTTTTTATCTTTTTTTTTATACTTATTTTCAACTACACATCCACTTAATAAAACTATTTTGCATGTAAACAAAAAATCTTTTCTTACTTTAATCACACATTCTCCTAAAAATTACTATTGAAAATATCATTTTTCCAAATAATGATTGTCAAACAAGGGCTAAACTCTTCCCAAGATACGTGTGTCACGCTAATTGCTTGGAACATTGAAAACCTTCCAATTTTTCCCCAATATCATGAACCCTAAGTAAGCTTTGGCGGATCAGCGTAGCTGACCATTCAAAGAATGTAGACGAAGTGTATATAATTTCTAAGAAGAAATTGCTTTGATCAAACACAATTTTACAAATATTTGCGCCTTCTAAATTAAGCCTATGTTTGGTAAAAATTAAAATCAAGATTTTAATTCAAGCCAAGTCAATGATTAATTTTAATCATATATTTTCATGGGATCTATAACTTTTCAATTACACATTTCATCAAAGTTTACTAAAAAAAATTAATTTTAATCCCCACCAAATAGAGATTAAAAAAAAGCACGTTATTCTGTTGTCACATCTCACACTTCATTGATTAAAATAAAAGTATCTTAACTAAAATAAAATATACCATTTATTTACGAAAATAAGCTGAGTGACTTGAGTGAACCAAAGGCGGAACTTGGGTGACCAGCAGTGTTTTGACTGTACCGTTCAGCAACGCAGATTCCAGACTTGACGACAAAAGTTCCTTCACTAGAAGAGTCGAAATATTCTCCTAAAGCGTACCAGATTGAACTGAATTGCTTGGTTGGAAATTAATTCAAAGCTTTAAGCCGGAGAAACAATTAGGAGCAACATGAAGTTCGCTGCACCGGCACCGGCACCGGCATCGCCGTGGATTGCTTTTCTGATATCAGTGCTATTGGTCTCATCAGTTTCGGCTTTATCTCCTCGGCTTCTACGACAACCGAATAGCAAAAAATACTTGACCACTAAAGCACTCTGGTTCAATCAAACTCTCGATCATTTCTCTCCTTACGTAATTTCTTCTTCTTTTGTCTAAATATTTACTTTTTTATTTGGTTTGAATTTTTTTGCATATGGGACATCAAAATTGAGCTTATTTATAAGCTTATAGTTTTATTCGTAGACAATTAGCATTATATAATGGCATTCTTTTCTATTTTTCAAGAATGGTTGTGGCTAATTTTCTTTCTTTGTTTAATGGAATTTTCAATTTTTAAGCTTAATTACCCTGTTTCTTGATGTAGCATATTGAATTCATCATCATCCTGTGTTCATGCTTTCGTGCTTTCTTTTTAAGTTTCATCAATATGGATAGATCTTACTTATACTGGCATTTGCAGGATCATCGTCAATTTGGGCAGCGATACTATGAGTTCCTTGACCACTTCACTCATAATGGGCCAATATTTTTGGAAATATGTGGAGAATCTGTATGCCCTGGGATACCGAATGACTACATCAGCGTAAGTTGATAATTTATCAGATAAACCTATGATTTGTTTTTCCCCTTCCATTGGAGAGAGCCATAATTCAAGGAGAATACTTGAAAGTTGACGTTTCAGTTTACTTTCCTTGTTGCTTGATAGACTAAATTTATAACTCTCCACTGAAGAAACGCAGCCAGTTAATTATAGGAATAAAATGGTAAGGTGCGATCTTAAATGCAGATATTCGAATTCATAGAACTCCGATTTGCAATATTTAAAATGGATAATGGTATACGTGTCAAAAATTTGAAACTAATTAGCATCTCTCCCTCTACCTATGCCAGCCATGATTGCCACGGTCATTTTAAAATTTTAAGAATACCATCTAGCTATATCTACCCTTTATCGATAGTGTATTATTTTTTATAAGTTGATACGTAAAATACATACTTATGTCCGTTGTTTGATATATCCAAGCTAATCATTAACTCGTTATATGTTTCCAGTCAAGTACAAAAATTGAAACACATATGAGTATTAACTAATCAAATATTAAACTGATAATTTGGGATCCGAATCGCCTGCAGCGAGTCTATATAAACATCTCATGTAATGACATATACCATATCTCTCTGCCAGCCTTTCGATAAACAACCACAGTAAAATTGTCTTTCATATAGGACAAATCTTGTCTACCCTGTTGGCAAATTTAAGCTTTTAAATCCACCTGGAATCCAAATGGTCTTGCCCTCTTTGGTTATCCTAACAGTAACAGGTATCTGAGATACAAAAATTCAAATTTGAGGTGCGGGAATCATTCTGCTAGCGGAGCTTTTACTTATTCCTAGCTAGAAAAAATAATGATGCAAGATTCTTTAGTTACTTTTGGTCCCAAAGATTGCCTTCATTCCAGTCTCCCTTCTTCTATAATGTGTACTTTTATCTAAGTTTGAGCATTTAAATACTAAATTCCTGCACACATGAGCTCATCGTAAGAAAGGTAAGTACATTTTGTTGAGAGCTCCTGATTATTGGATTTGTTTCATTTCTGATTTTGATGATGCTCACATAGAAAAACCACTTTGCAACCAGATGCATTAACTTTGGTATATATGATTTTTATTAATTCTGAGTATGACCGAGATGATATTGACTTCAACTTCTAGACATATCTAACTAATAGTGCCTTTGTTAGCCACTATACGAGTCAGTTTTTTCGAGACTTCTATTGACAAACAGGTCTTGGCGAATAAGTTCGGAGCTGCTGTTGTTTCTCTTGAGCATAGGTACTACGGGATGAGCTCCCCTTTTAATTCCTTGACCACGGAGAATCTCAAGTATCTTTCATCCAAGCAGGCACTTTTTGATTTAGCTATTTTCCGCCAATATTATCAGGCAAGTTTCTGCTCACTTTTTCACTCATTCAGAGTGGAAAAGGTTGGTACTAATTAAGGCTGGAGGCTTTATATTAGTAATTGATTACACTTGTTTCCTGAATCTTTTCTGGATGAAACAGATTTAAGATGGAGATTTTTTTTGTTTTTTTAATTTTTTTCTCGAAGTTCTAAATGTTGCTAGTATAATCACGTTATATGCTACATGTTGGACCACGGATGAGGTATTGGTCTAAATTTTAGTCACGAGTTCTAATTAGAAGAGACACAGAACTTGTGCTTTGAAAGTTTAATTGGTGAAATTACAAGTACAGATGTTGAAATGACTATAAAAGAATGTTATCAACCATTTAAATGCATGTTACAATTCTGAAATGTTAAGGAGTTAATCTTTTATCGTCCCAGCATTTGCTAGCTAATCTTGATATGCACACGTGGTTTCATATACATATAAAAATACAAGTCCAGGTTCCGGTTAAAATTTTCATTTGTTATCCCAATAAAGGGCAATTTTTCCAAGGTCAATGATGTGGTTATACTTCATTTTCCAGTCAAAGATGGCCAGGTGCTGGCGGAAAAAGTTGGAGTATAAGTTAGTAAAATACATATCAGACGTGGGTTTTGAATATTTACTCAATGAGCCATAACATTTAGTTTAATCAATGGAGATGTAGTTTTTAATTATCTTAATTGCTGGTTAGCATTTTACTGCCATGTCATCCCTTTTATACAGACATTGTCACCTTCGTATATAGATCAATATACTGTTATATAGACTTTGGTGACAAGTTGCCAAAATTTTTTAGAGTGCATCTCTGTCTTCACATAACTGATATTTTGCTAAAAAGTTTTTTGGAGGTCAAACGTTTTGAGAGAAAAAGCGCCTACTGTGGTTTGCTGTACTCTGTTCCGATATGCAACAACCCTAAAATAATTAAAGAAGTTAATCAGTTGTAAGAGATTAACTATTGCTGCACCAGATTGATGTTTTGAACTTTTATAGCATGTGAAATTATTTTTCATCAATTATTTCAAGTGAATCTGGTGGATGTCCTATAATATATTGTACTTCTAACAATATTTATTTGCCCGAATATGTGTTTGGCACATCATCGTACCGATAAGTGTGTGCATGCAATCACTTCTCAATTTGGATGGTAGCTGTAGTGGCTTGAAGCCTTATATCTGAATAGATAAAAAAATATTATAGAGCTATTTCCATCATCCCTTTTCCAAACTAATCATGATTGTTCCACCTTTTTATTGAAATTTTTATTTTTACTATAATTTTTTGGCATTTTTTATAGGAATCCCTGAATTTAAAGCTCAACAAGTCCAATGTCGAAAATCCATGGTTTGTCTTTGGTGTTTCATATTCTGGTGCTCTTAGTGCATGGTTCCGACTGAAGTTTCCTCATCTTACTTGTGGGAGTCTTGCAAGTTCTGCTGTTATTCAGGCTATTTACAACTTCACAGAATTTGATAAGCAGGTAAAGAAGAAAGATATTATATGAATCTCAGCAAAATTACAGCAATTCTTCTTTAAATTTGCTGCCAAACCTGTTTCCTTTCATCTGTGCCTCCTCAACCCTGCCTTTGATCTGCTGCTTGTTTCTAATTTCCTGCGCCGTGACCATTGTTAATCAAAGCAACTTACCCAGGTTTTACTGTTCAGATTGGTATATCTGCAGGCCCAGAATGTAAAGCTGTGTTACAAGAAATTACACGTCTCGTTGATGAAAGGCTAGCTTCTAATGACAAGGAAGTAAAATTGATGTTTGGTGCAGCCGAGGTATAAAATGTGACTTCTTTTGTGATGTTTGATCACAGATATTGTATATAAATTTACAAATCTTCTGATCTCACGAGTATTAGATTTGAGATTGGAGATGCCATATTTCCTTTCTGGAATCAAAGGATTGGAACATTTAGGGGACAATACCCCCTTTGTGGAGATAGTTTATATAAATAAATCCTTATGAATGTTCTAACTCACATTGATGAAGAGGCAAATCACCAGACATCTTGAAAACACAAAAATGAGCATTTTGCCTTAAAATATGTACATGGCGTCTTTTTATTGTTTAAAGTGCAACTATATTGTACATAAATAGCTGGTTGAGAGAATTGAAGAGCATAACCATTTATTTTTCTAGATTACAAACTTACAGAGAGCAGAAGAGCTTCACATACAGAAACACTGTAGTAGTTTGCCGCTATATGTCACTGCTGGCTGCCATCAATGATCATGCACTGGTGAAAGGGATGAGGTTTTGATAATTTTGGCAATCTTTGAAATTATGTGCCGACTATAGTGAATATACATTATACCCTTTACCTCTTCATAAATGAGATTTTCATTTACTTGAGCTACAGTTTGAAATAACAGCAATTTTCCATCAGCAGATCAAAATTATGTTGAAAGAGAAGGGAACACTAGTGACCTTGAAATAATTATTTTTATTTTATTTATTTTATTTTTTCCTCTCTATTTGAGTGATGAAGCAAAATCAGAATAATTTTGTCATTCTATGGCTAAATATAACATTGCAGTCAGGTCATAATCATTTCATATATATATATATATTTTTCTTTTGAATTTCTTAATTTATGGAATTGTTGCTAATGGGAAATATTGACTACAAAGGTTTTGATCTCGTTTAAGGTTGTGCAGTGGTTTTTGCCTAATGTTACCTCAAGATATTTGTTCCAACTGTTTTAGTCTGACAGTATTCACACTATTCATTTGTGTAATATATGTATTTTCCAACTAGCATGTGGCACTAACCGATTTTTCTCCAGTTTTTGTTGCTAATAATCCTTTTGAAATACTTGATAATAAATAATCATCTACGTGGCTTCACGTTCTAAATTGGGAGAACATATTTTTCATTGGTCCTCCATGTATTGTTTCATACGTTATGTTTATTCATTCTTACTCTGTAAACTCATTTTTAACTCTAAATTTTCACACGGGTGTGCTTGTTAACAGCTAAAAATTGATGGCGATTTCCTGTATTATCTGGCTGATGCTGCAGTTACTGCGGTAGGTTAACATATAGTTTTTGTTGTTAATACAAAATCCTTTTATTCTGAATTAGTAATTATACCCTTTGCTATTATCCAGTTTCAATATGGAAATCCAGATAAGTTATGCAACCCTCTGATTGAAGCGAAGAAAGCTGGAGAAGACATAGTGGTAAGCCTTAGCTGTCACCATCAGTGTTATATTTTTAAATCATATGATTCTTCGAAGTATTTGTTTCCTTTTGTTCCCTTATAGATGCTCACGATTTTTCAGATTTATTTATGATTTGTGTCCATATCGACTTAAATTGAAGAATGGAAAATGCAACAGTTCTTGAAACACTAATGAACTGTTTAATAAAAATTTGTGCAACTAAATCTCAATTCCTGTTAAAGAGTTATTATTTTGGATTTATTTATGTTAGTAGGATATAATCCCATGTAATTTGTGTACATAGGCAACAAGAATTCCATACATAGATAGCAAGGATTATGCAAGAAATATGTAACGGTTGATTTACAGCCTTGTAATTGGCCGAATTTCATCTATTTAATGGAAGCAACTCTCAAATGGAGAGGCATTCAAATTGAAATCAATTGGTTTTGTCATGGTATCAGAGCCCTTGATCTAAGAGTACTCTTCTGGTTAGAATTTTTCCTAGGCTTCCATAGAAAGGCTCAATTCTTAGTTTTGGGACTCACCTGGCGGATCACTTCATCGTGGTGGCCGTCAATTTCTGTGGAGTCTGTGTCGGGAAGCACTGTGAATCCCTATCTGCGTCGTTGATCCTGTGTTGACGAGTCTGCTACCGCCGCTCACCGTCGTAGATATCTTCATAATGTTGACAGATTTTGGAGTCAGTAGTGTTGTTGGGAACCTCTGCTTCGCTACCGCCGGTGAAAGGATTGCGAGGAATCAAGGTAACGGGCTGCAAAATTGGATCGTGTGTTGGGTTATATTAACTGGGTGTCTGCTTTTGGGCCATTTAGTATATTGGGCCTGTATTGGTTAATTTTTTTTTTGGGCCTGTCTATTTTACTGGATATAATTGGGCATGTTCCTTTTATTGAATCGATTATTTCAATTGGGCTTATTGGTGTAGCATCTTAAAATAATTATTTCAATTGGGCTTGTAAGTTGTTAGGCCTTTCTTAATTTATAATGTCTACTGGAACGTCAAATTTCTTCGGTGTGAAATTTATGGGTAAGAATTACTCTGCCTGTGAATTTCAATTTCGACTTTTTTGTTACTGGGAAGGAATTATGGGGCCATATGGATGGAACTGATTCAGCTCCCACGGATCCAACAGAACTAGCAAAATGGAAGATTAAAGATGCTCAAGCTATGATTTGGATTTTAGGGTCTTTTTGACCCTCTGATTATTCTGAATCTTAGGTTGTATAAGAATGCTAAGAGTATGTGGGAATATTTGAAGAATGTCTATCATCAAGATAATACAGCCCGACGATTTCAATTGGAGTCTGACATCTCTAGTTATACTCAAGGCGATCTCTCCATTTAGGAATATTTTTTTGAATTTCAGAATTTGTGAGCGGAATATGCTAACATAATCTATGCAAAGATACCAGATGGTTCATTTGCTGCAATCCAAGAGGTTCATGAGCAAAGCAAGAGGGATCAATTCTTGATGAAGCTGCGACCTGAATTTGAGGTTGCTCGATCTAATATGATGAATCACAATCCATCCCCCTCTTAGGATGTGTGCTTCGGAGAGTTACTTCGAGAAGAGCAATGTCTTGCTACACAAGCTAATTACCAGCAGGACAAACTACCAACTAATGCATTTGCCTATGTGGCTCAAGGGAAAGGCAAGGGTAGACATATACGAAAAGTTCAATGCTTTAGCTGCGAGGAATATGGACATATTGCTGCCCACTGTGCAAAGAAGTATTGCAACTATTGTAAGAAGCCGGGGCATCCTATTAAAAAATGTCCTACTCGACCTCAAAATCGTCAGGCTAATGCTTATCAGGCTACAGTTGGTCCTTCCTCTTCCACTGGTGGTAATTCATTTGTTCTTACTCCTGAGATGGTCCAACAGATGATTATTTCAGCTTTTTCGGCCTTGGGTCTTTAAGGTAACGATTTCCTACCATCATCATCATGGCTTGTTAATTTTGGTGCATCTAATGATACTCCTAATAATATTCAGACATACAAAGGATCCTCACATAGTCGGATTGCTAATGGCAATCGATTACCAATTCATGCTGTTGGAGATGTTAATTCCTCCGTTATAGATGTTTTCGTATCCATTGCACTTTCCACTAATCTTATATTTGTAGGCCAGTTGGTCAATAATAACTGTGATGTTCGTTTTTCTCGTGATGACTGTTTTGTATAGGATTAGATGTTTGGGAAGATACTCGCGAAGGGGCCTAAAGTTGGTCGATTATTTCCTCTACATTTTCCTATTCCTCCAGTTATATCTATGGGTTGTACTAATGTTGACAATAAAAGCAGAGAGTGGCATAAACGGTTGGGTCATCCCAACTCTGTTGTTTGATCTCATCTAATAAATTCTGGTTTGTTGGGCAACAAAGATCAATTTTCACCTCATATTTCTCTTGATTGTTCCACATGCAAATTAGGTAAAAGTAAGTCTCTTCCTTCTCTTCCCAAAAGAAGTTTTGATTTGATTCATAGCGATGTGTGGGGTATGTCTCCTATTATATCTCATGCGCATTATAAATACTTTGTCACATTCATTGATGATTACAGCAAGTATACATGAATATATTTTTTGCGTTCCAAATATGAAGTATTTTCTGTCTTTCAAAAGTTTGTTGCTTATGTTGAAAATCAATTCTCTTCGAGCATTAAAATATTAAGATTGGATTTAGGAGGTGAATACATATCTCATAACTTTTGCGATTTTCTTCACCAAAAAGGCATTGTCTCCCAATGTTCATGTCCCTATACACCTCAGCAAAATGGTATTGCCAAATGTAAGAATGGCCATCTATTATATGTTGTTTGGACATTATTACTTGAATCTTCTATTCTACCTAAATTTTGGGTCGAGGCTTTATCTACGGCAGTCTATTTAATTAATCGATTTCCCTCTAGTGTTTCGAAATTTGAGACCTCCTATTATCGCCTATATCATCAGCATTCCAACTATTTTGACATGCATACATTTGGTTGTGTTTGTTTTGTCCATTTATCTTCTCATGAACGAAACAAACTTTCTGCTCAATTTGTTAAGTGCGCATTTATGGGTTATAGTACTTATCACAAAGGCTACGTTTGCTATGATCCTTACTCTGACAGATTTCGTATATCTCGTCATGTTGTATTTTTCGAAAATCAATATTTCTTTCCCACTCATATTGAGCCTTTGACAGAGACCAAGATAAATGTTCTACTTTTTTAGGACTTATCTTTTGTTCCCGAACGATTCAAGCTTGGATTTGTGTATGAACGCCGTCGCCTAACTTTGCCCCCTCCTGAGCCTGATCGGCTATTTGAGCCTGCTTAGATTATGCCTTCCGAGAATGAGCTGGATTCTGGCACTATTCCTCGCCGCTCTATCGGAATTTCTCGTCCTCCAGATCGGTATGGATTTTCTCATACCTTACTTCACGCTACTTTGTCATCCATCTCTATTCCTACATGGTATTTTGAGGCTATCAAGCATGTATGTTGGCCGGAGGCAATGGCAAAAAAACTTCGTGCTCTTAAGGACAATCATACTTGGGATATTGTTCATTGTCCTACAAATGTTAAAACTATTGGTTGCAGGTAGGTTTACTCATTCAAACTCCGTTCTGATGGGACTTTAGATAGATATAAGGCACGGTTGGTTGTACTGGGTAATAAACAAGAGTATGGAGTGGACTATGAAGAGACTTTGCTCCAGTTGCTAAAATGACTACTGTACAGACCATCATTTCTATTGCTGCTTCCTAAGGTTGGTCACTTTATCAAATCGATGTTAAAAATGCATTTCTCTATGGTGATCTTAAAGAAGAGGTTTACATGAAGCTACCTCCTGGCCTAACCTCCACCTCTTCCTCGGATGTCTGTAAATTGAACTACTCATTATATGGGCTAAAACAAGCTCCACGAGCCTGGTTTGACAAGTTTTGCTCTACATTGCTTCAGTTTTCCTTCCAGTTGAGCCAAGATGACCCTTGCATGTTTCTTTGTAAGACCTCTACTGATATTGTTCTTCTCCTCGTCTATGTTGATGACATTGTTATCACTGGTTCGGATTCCGCCTTGATTATCCTCCTACAGCAGCTCCTTCAGACATCATTTCATATGAAAGATCTTGGTTCTCTTACGTACTTAGGGTTGGAAGTTCACACTGGTCCCTCTAGTATCTTTTTAAATTAACATAAGTACACATATGATTTGATTAAGTTGGCAGGCCTTCAGGATTCATCTATTGTGGATACTCCCCTAGAAGTAAGCACAAAATAACGTTGTGAGGAGGGTGATCTTCTATCTGATTCTACTATGTTTTGTCAACTATTGGGCAGTTTAAATTATCTGACTATCACTAGGCCTGATATTTCCTTCGCGGTCCAGCAGGTTAGCCAGTTTATGCACACTCCACGTCATCTCCATTTTGTTGCCGTTCATCATATCATTCGTTATCTTCGAAGCACAACTAGTCATGGATTATTTTTTCGTGCCGGTTCTCCTATTCGTCTTACTGCTTTTAGTGATGCTGATTGGGCTGGTTGTCTTGCTATCCGGCGATCTGTTACCGGATGGTGTAAGTTTCTTGGTGATTCTCTGATCTCCTGGAAGAGTAAGAAACAAGATCGGATTTCTAAATCCTCTACTAAATTTGAATATCGGGTAACGTCTGCTGCTTGCTCCGAGATCATCTGGCTTTGTGGCCTTCTGGCTGAACTTGATTTTTCTCAGTCCGCTTCCACTCCTCTCCATGTTGATAACACAGTGCCATTCAGATTGCTGCTAAACATGTTTATCATGAGTGTACAGAATTTTTATAATCATTCTTGTCTTTATAGGGTTACAAATAACCAAAAATTGGAAAATTAAAACCACCTAGCATAGTTTTTCCTATGTATAACTAACATAACTTGTCCTTTAAAGGCATATCATAATAAGTCCTATTGAAGAATAAAGATTCTTTTTATTCTCAATGAATATTACAAAAACCAATACGACC